CAACCATGATTTGATTGCTACATTGATTATGTTCCCAATATGATCAAAAAAGATAAACCCACAATTCAACTTTTTATTCTTGAGCATCACTTTGACAAATAAGTATGGAGCAAATCCTTCTATTGATCATTATGGTGACTGCCTCAAAAACGCTTAAATGTCTAGCATAGGTAATATGCTGTGTATCCTGTGCTGTCCCAATTCATGTAATTTCTTCCGGTTGGAGAGAAAGTTCGGCTGTGCTGTACAAAATCAAGACAGTCTGCAAAGGTCAGTTGTGTTATTTAAAGAAAGTTTGCTTTTAGACCTGTTGGTTTATTTTCACACACAAACAGCTGTGTTGGGGAAAGTGAAAGACTTGATGGCCTCCAGTTTGATGCAAAAAAAGCATTGTTTTTCTTGTTAGTATTCGCGTTAGCTCTGCTAGTTTTGCAGCCGAGTCCTTTCATTCAACAAAAAAAAAGGAAGTGATGGTCGGCAACTGCTCTAAATCCGTTCTGAACAGATGGCTCGCTATCTGTCAAGCTAATGTACAGTATTTTGAGGCGAAAACTACAAATAATGCCATGCATTTTACACAGCAAATAATCACTATTTGCTAATTATCATCACCCAGATGGCAAATTGGTGCTGCTGCATTGAATGAATTTGATTCGGTTCGTCATTCGCTTTTGTTGGCTCGTGAGCTAGCTATGCACGGATTTTTGCATAATTATATTGGCAATATAAACTAAAAGAACTGCCGATGTAACGTACATGTAATAAAACTGTCAATCACATCAAAAGAGACCTAGTTAGCTAACGTTAGACCGATGATATCTGGCTGGACTAGTTCGATAGATAACTGGACAACAACAACAACAACAACAATAGTCAGTAGACGGTTTTGGCTAAGTCTGCCAGGCGAATCATATTGCTGACGTGGTATGTATTTCAGTAGCTAGCTAGAGTTTTTAAATGACCCACGTTAGTTATTCTGAAAAAATTTGAGGTCACACACAGGTTGAATCTTGCAGTGTGGAAAGGACACTCATTGTGTCTATGAACTCTGCTTGATCAGCATACAGAGCAATAAATTATAGTTTAATCCGCAGGTAGCATGTCTGCCTTCATTCAGTAGCTAGCTAGCTATGTGTGTAAGGACATACTTTGTAGCATTAGCTAATGCATTCCTCCTACTAGCACAGAAACTGGTTGGGAAGATAGGCCAAATTAATTGTAAACCTTTACAGTAAACGCACTAACGCACAAGTTCATGGTTTCACAATATCTGACATTTACAGTGCATTCGGAAAGTATTCAGACCCCTTCCCTTTTTCCACATTTTGTTACGTGACAGCCTTATTCTAAAATGGATTAAATAAAACATTTCCCTCATCAATCTTCACACAATACCCCGATAATGACAAAGCAAAAACAGGTTTTTAGGAATGTTTGCAAATGTGTGTGTATACATATATATATATATATATATATATATATACATACTGCTAAAAAAAATTAAGGGAACACTTAAACAACACAATGTAACTCAATCACACTTCTGTGAAATCAAACTGTCCACTTAGGAAACAACACTGATTGACAATACATTTCACATGCTGTTGTGCAAATGGAATAGACAACAGGTGGAAATTATAGGCAATTAGCAAGACACCCCCAATAAAGGACTGGTTTTGCAGGTGGTGACCACAGACCACTTCTCAGTTCCTATGCTTCCTGGCTGATGTTTTGGTCACTTTTGAATGCTGGCGGTGCTTTCACTCTAGTGGTAGCATGAGACGGAGTCTACAACCCACACAAGTGGCTCAGGTAGTGCAGCTCATCCAGGATGGCACATCAATGCGAGCTGTGGCAAGAAGGTTTGCTGTGTCTGTCAGCGTAGTGTCCAGAGCATGGAGGCGCTACCAGGAGACAGGCCAGTACATCAGGAGATGTGGAGGAGGCCGTAGGAGGGCAACAACCCAGCAGCAGGACTGCTACCTCCGCCTTTGTGCAAGGAGGAGCAGGAGGAGCACTGCCAGAGCCCTGCAAAATGTGCATGTGTCTGCTCAAACGGTCAGAAACAGACTCCATGAGGGTGGTATGAGGGCCCGACGTCCACAGGTGGGGGTTGTGCTTACAGCCCAACACCGTGCAGGACGTTTGGCATCGAGATGAGATCCTCAGACCCCTTGTGAGACCATATGCTGGTGCGGTTGGCCCTGGGTTCCTCCTAATGCAAGACAATGCTAGACCTCATGTGGCTGGAGTGTGTCAGCAGTTCCTGCAAGAGGAAGTCATTGATGCTATGGACTGGCCCGCCTGTTCCCCAGACTTGAATCCAATTGAACACATCTGGGACATCATGTCTCGCTCCATCCATGCTTTAGTCCAGGTCTGGGAGGAGATCCCTCAGGAGACCATCCGCCACCTCATCAGGAGTATGCCCAGGCGTTGTAGGGAGGTCATACAGGCACGTTGAGGCCACACACACTACTGAGCCTCATTTTGACTTGTTTTAAGGACATTACATCAAAGTTGGATCAGCCTGTAGTGTGGTTTTCCACTAATTTTGAGGGTGACTCCAAATCCAGACCTCCATGGGTTGATACATTTGATTTCCATTGATAATTTTTGTGTGATTTTGTTGTCAGCACATTCAACTATGTAAAGAAAAAAGTATTTAATAAGATTATTTAATTCATTCAGATCTAGGATGTGTTATTTTAGTGTTCCCTTTATTTTTTTGAGCAGTGTGTGTATGTATGTGTGTGTATGTGTGTATATATATATATATATATATATATATATATATATATATATATGTGTGTGTATATGTAAATAAGGTATATATTTTTTTATATATATATATATAAGTATTCAGACCCTTTGCTATGAGTCTCGAAATTGAGCTCAGCTGCATCCTGTTTCCATTGATCCTCCTTGAGATGTGTCTACAACTTGATTGGAGTCCACCTGTGGTAAATTAAATTGATTGGACATGATTTGGAAAGGTACACACTTGTCTATGTAAGGTCCCACAGTTGACAGTGCATGTCAGAGCGAAAACCAAGCCATGAGGTCGAAGCAATTGTCCATAGAGCTCTGAGACAGGCTTGTGTCGAGGCACAAGACTCTTCCTAGAGCTGGCCACCCGGACAAACTGAACGAAAAGGGCCTTGGTCAGGGAGCTGACCAAGAACCCGATGGTCACTCTGACAGAGATCCAGAGTTCCTCTGGAGATGGGAGAACCTTCCAGAAGGACAACCATCTCTGCAACATTCCACCAATCAGGCCTTTATGGTAGAGTGGCCAAATGGAAGCCACTCCTCTGTAAAAGGCACATGACAGCCCGCTTGGAGTTTTCCAAAAGGCACCTAAAGGACTCTCAGACCATGAGAAACAAGATTCTCTGGTCTGATGAAACCAAGATTGAACACTTTGGCCTGAATACCAAGCGTCACGTCTGGAGGAAACCTGGCTGTGGAGATGTTTTTCAGCGGCAGGGACTGGGAGACTAGTCAGGATCGAGGGAAAGATGAACGGAGCAAAGTACAGTGACATCCTTGATGAAAACCTGCTCCAGAGCACTCAGGACCTCTGACTGGGGCTAAGGTTCACCTTCCTACAGGACAACGACCCTAAGCACACAGCCAAGACAACGCAGGAGTGGCTTCGGGACAAGTCTCTGAATGTCCTTGAGTGGCCCAGCCAGAGCCCGGGCTTGAACCCGATCGAACATCTCTGGAGAGACCTGAAAATAGCTGTGCAGCAACACTCTCCATCCAACCTGACAGAGCTTGAGAGGATCTGCAGAGAAGAATGGGAGAAACTCTCCAAATACAGGTGTGCCAAGCTTGTAGTGTCATACCCAAGAAGACTCAAGGTTGCAATCGCAGCCAAAGGTGCTTCAACAAAGTACTGAGTAAAGGGTCTGAATACTTACAGTACCAGTCAAAAGTTTGGACACACCTACTCAAGAGTTTTTCTTAATTTTTACTATTTTCTACATTATAGAATAATAGTGAAGACATCAAAACTATGAAATAACACATGGAATCATGTAGTAACCAAACTATATTTTAGATTTTAGCCACCATTTGCCTTAATGACAGCTTTGCACACTCTTGGTCTGAATACTTATGTAAATGTGATATTTCCGTTTATTATTTTAAATAAATTAGCAAAAATTCTACACCTGTTTATGCTTTGTCATTGTGGGGTATTGTATGTAGATTGATGAGGAAAAAATACAATTTAATCAATTTTAGAATAAGGCTGTAACCTAACAAAGTGGAGAAAGTCAAGGGGTCTGAACACTTTCCGAAGGCACTGTATGTTATATCTGACAGAAAGGCACTAAATATCTGGGACCATTATTATGAATGCCCATACAACCCTGCTGAGCTGACCCTGTTTTCTGTAGTGGTGTACTATTTAATCAATACCGCCTGGAACCCCCTAGGGCCTGTACCACACCAGTCTTCCAGTCAAGATGTTCACTCTGGTAACAGCTCTTATCTCGACACATCAGGCCTCTGAAGTGACTAAACACACAGCTACACAGGGTCACCGGACGTTTGTGGACATTATATTTGGAGTGTCCTAGACTGCATTTTCCACCTTAGTTTACAGCTGGGTCTCTGTCAATATGAAAGCCTATTTGATTTACTAATTGAACTGACACATGCTGAAAACAGTTAAACAGGTATTTTAGTGACGCTAGCAATTTACTTGAAGTAAAATGAGATGTCCTGTTGCTGCATCATTTTAGGTGGTAAATGGGCATGTCTGTGTATAGCACACGGGTGCACATTCTTATAGCATTAACTACAGAGTTGTGTGTGTGTAATGAGAGATCAGCTGAGGCGGTGGTATAGGGGCTTGTGTTTAGGGACAGAGTTGGGCATGCCACGATAGGTCAGTCAGTTTCTCTACTGTTCACAGTTCCCTCTCTCACCGTCTCACCCCCCCTTCTCTCTTTCCTGTGTTGTGGTGTGCGTGTGTGTGTGTATAGGAGGAGGGTCGATCCGGCTGCACAGCTCCTCCTTGTGTGTCTGCGATGGCATCGAGCCTTCTGCGTGTGGTGGCTACTAGCTGCTCTGCTCCACTGTTCAGTGGGGTGGCCTGTGTTCGGCTGCATGCTAGTACCCGGTCAGTAAAGACGCCATGCCTGCGCTTCTTCAGGACTCAGCAAGCTCTCAACCGCTGTGCCAGCCCAGGTAACTAGCATAACTACTCTCCCTCCGACAGGTACACAGCTTGAGCACAACCGCAATCACAATGCACATACACACCAACGTAAAACATAGGGTTGCCTTGTCTTATGCTTAGTCTCGTTGATAAAATATGTTATCCATAGGTTTTGTACAAACATGTAGCCTATCATCCACAGTCACCTGCTTACTCAGACAATGCATGTCTTGGTAGTTGTCCGGAGAGGACGCGTGGCAGGGGCAATTTCAATAACTTTTGCCACCTCATCTTTTTTTGCCTTTGTTGCAACCAACCAACGTGATATTATAGATACTACAGTGTACAGCCACAGGTCTTCCTCTTCCCACCCTGTTCTCTCTTGGCTGTGTGCAGCCACCAATACCTGCAACTAGAGTTAGAAATTAATGAGGTGTGTGTCTGTATGTGTGTCTAGCCAGAATCAGCTGGCTGTTTGCATGTTCCAGCTAGGGCTGGGCGATATGGCCAAAATATCATATCACAGTATTTTACAAATTTGGGGCAGTATTTTATGTTTTTGAATAATAAAAGTTTTGCTAAATTTGCTTTATGAGTAGTGTGTGACCCTACAGTGGCAACACATACATTCTTAGTGATTTCAATGGGTCTTTCTCCATTATGATTGTTTTATACTGTTCAATTCAACTTCAACCTAAAATAATTTCCTGCATTTCCATCAATTTCTGCATTTCCTGCACTTATTTGAGATAATTTCCACACTGCCACGTAGGGCTGCACAATATGGGCAAAAAAACTAGGCCTTATTTTTAACCAAATGTTGCAATTGCGATTTGACTTGCTATTTAGATCAAAACACTTGGGTGAACAGTTGGAATCTTGGAAATAGACTGTTTATTCTAATTCTATAGTTAGAATATACATAATAGTGGGGACTTTGAATACACTGTTGTTTGACATGACAACGAATGAAAATGCCAGGGAGGAGTTATTGTGACAGGGTAGGAACCAAAGTGATGGTCAGTGTTTTCCTAGGGGACCCTATAATCTTTGGCTACATTCAATGTTTCTACATGTAGCCAACACATTCATGCTTCACCTATTCCTCTTTGATTTGGAAGATACTGTTGCACAAACAACATGCTGATTTAGGCCTACACCAGCACTGGTATCAGGCTGTATTAGCTAGCTACATTTGCTCCGACTCAGTACATTTATTAGCTAGCTCGCTAACTAGCGATTAGCCTTAGCGGCTAACACGATTTAGCAAAAACGGCTAAAAAAATACTAACTTTTTGCAGATGTAAGAAACACAAAATAATAGTGTAATTATAGAACGCTTGTGGATTTATATTAAGAAGCAAAGTGGAAACAACGTCGTTATCATCAACATTGTTGCATGTGCTGCATTGACCATGCAGACTGAATGCAAGTGTCTCCTGGTAAAGCAATAACAATGTGCTCCTTGAGTGACATGGGGCGAGGCAGGGTTTCCAGGTCTTACAAAAATATTGAGACCAATGAACACTCAAAACCCACCTAAAAGGCATGAAAACTAGCACAATTTTGTTTTCCCTCAGCAAGAGAGTAGTTGCCACATTTACACAATAAACCCTTTTTCCATAACGTTATCGAGCCAATTAAGAAGGAATATCACTAACTTTTAGCGACGTTATAATCAAAATTTGGTTATGATGTGACATAATAAAGGAATTTGAATATGTCTCAAGATAAAATATTATTTGCCCTTTTTAAACTCACCAGATCATTTTCCATTAATGGATGTCGATTTAACTCATTTGAGTGCTGTGCTTAAGCAATAAGGCACGAGGGCGTATGGTATATGGCCAATATACCAGGGCTAAGTGTTGTTCTTAAGCATGATGCAAAGCGGAGTGCCTGGATACAGCTGTTAGACATGGTATATTGGCCATATACCACAAACCCCTGTGGTGCCTTATTGCTATTATAAACTGGTTACCATTGTAATTTGAACAGTAAAAGTAATTTTTTGTCATACCTTTCTTTCAGGGCTCGTACCCGGTTTATAATTGTAGAAAATTCCCTTTTGTGCATGTGCATAACTAGATAAATCCGACAGGAGCGTTTGACTGATGAAAGTTGGACAGAGGATCTCGAAATCTCTGAGCAAGAAACACTTGGACGAATTAACAAAAACGAATGTTAGGCTATTTTCTGGCAATTGTGCCATTTTATGTGGCAGATGTTAAGACTACAAACTGTTATAAATGTCAATTTGCAAGATTGACTTGTCATTTCTATAGGCACAGACTACAGACAAAAAAATCAACTTTGCCATGGTTTGCTTAGCTATACTGAACAAAAATATAAACACAAGTTACAGTTCATATAAGGAAATCAGTCAATTGAAATAAATAAATTAGGCCCTAATCTATGGATTTCACATGACTGGGCAGGGGCGCAGCCATGGGTGGGCCTGGGAGGGCATAGGCCCACCCACTGGGGAGCCAGGCCCAGCCAATCAGAATACATTTTTCCCCACAAAAGGGCTTTATTACAGACAGAAATACTCCTACATTTCATCAGCTGTCTGGGTGGCTGGTCTCAGACGATGTTGTGTTTATATTTTTGTTCAGTGTAGGTAGCCTATAGCCCATGATAGGCCTACATTTAATTTCAGATAGCCTACAGGAGCCTAGGCAAGATGTAGGCGAGATGTAAACTGAACGATTTAGCAGCTTGCTTAGTTCAAATTGACAGACTAATTGATTCAACAAGAATAGTGAGGTGATTTCGAGATAAGAAGTGCTTGTTTCCCAATAGCCTGCTGGAATGGGCTTCTGAGGATGGGGTCGTAATTTCAATCACTAAATTAAATATTAATCATTTGTATATGAACTGAATATGCTTGTCAACAACAGCCAAAGTTTTTAAAAATATATTTAACCTGTAGCCTAATCTGACTGACTGTTAACGTTGATCTAATGCGTTCTAACAACTGATCGGCAGTTGCGATAGAGCTTTGATAACTTCCAATTTAGTTAACTAAACGTGACCTTTAATAATTGCATAATAACACAAGGCTACAACAACATAAACTGAAGTTATAGGCTATTTATTAAATCAGTTTGCCAGCTCCAGGTAGGCTACACAAGTGGCACAAATTGATTTGCAATGACTCCAGTGATATTGTCATTTCAACATATTTATTGTATCAAATGGTAGATTACAATGGCATAAATACTGAACAAAAATATAAACGCAACAATTTCAACGATTTTACTGAGTTACAGTTCATATAAGGAAATCAGTCAATAGAAATAAATAAATTAGGCCCTAAACTATGGATTTCACATGAATCGGCATTGGCGCAGCCTGGGATGAGGGATAGGCCTACCCACTTGGGAGCCAGGCCCACCCATTGGGGAGCCAGGCCCAGCCAACCAGATGAGGGAGGAGGATTTCTTTCTTTTTTTATGAGCATGGCCTTGTTTCTATTACAGGATATTGGATGACTGTCATTCATATTCCATTCACCCAGCTCAATGTAACATCGATAGGTTTAGGCTACTACATGATACTCAAATTTTGAGGTTGCTACAACCTAGCCTATGAATGAAAGTTTATAACTAAAATGTTAATCTAGAGAATTTTGAGTAATCACATTCAATACCGCCTTGTACACTCTTGCCTGCATCTAGCTGATCTAGGGTGTAATCATTAGTCTGTCACACCCTGGCTCTGGGACCCTATATGTTGAGCCAGGGTGTGTTCATTCTGTGGTGTTCATTCTAGTTTGTTGTATTCTATGTTTGCCTGAGTGACTCCCAATCAGAGGCAATGAGTGTCAGCTGTTGGCTGGTTGTCTCTGATTGGGAGCCATATTTAAACTGTCTGTGTTCCCTTTGTGTTTGTGGGTTTTTGTTCCGTGTTCGGTCATTGATACCGTTGGACGTCACGAGTCGTTTCTTGTTTTGTATTGTGTTTAAACTTTAACTAATTAAAGTATGTTTGTTCATCACGCTGCGCCTTGGTCTGTTCCATATGACGATCGTGACATAGTCCAACAGTTGCAAATGAGAGTTTCTGTTGGACAAATTCCATTTCGTTCCGTTTGCTTTTGTTTAAGAAAGGTTTTTCAACAGAATCGGTGGAATGAATACACCCCTGATCTCACACACACACACACACATTTCACTTTCATAGCAGCCATATAAAAACAGCATGATCACTTTGCTCGTTGTGTATATATAATTATTTCTAGCAACTATCTATGCGCTCTCCTCCTCTCTGCTTTTCTCTTTGCTTGTTGATTTCAGTGCACAATACATCAGCTGTCTGTGACCAGGTGTCACACCCTGGCTCTGGGACTCATTATGTTGAGCCAGGGTGTGTTCATTTCTATGTGTGTATTTCTATGTTGGTGTTCATTCTAGTTTGTTGTATTCTATGTTTGCCTGAGTGACTCCCAATCAGAGGCAACGAGTGTCAGCTGTTGGCTGGTTGTCTCTGATTGGGAGCCATATTTAAACTGTATGTTTTCCCTTTGTGGTTGTGGGTTTTTGTTCCGTGTTCGGTCATTGATACCGTGGACGTCACGAGTCGTGTTTTGTTTTGTATTTTGACGCTTTAACTATTAAAGTCATGTTTGTTCATCACGCTGCGCCTTGGTCTACTCCTTACCTCGACCTTGACAGAAAAACCCACCATGCAACGACCAAGCAGCGTGTCCAGGGGCAGCCCTTGGGGTGGACATGGGAGGAAGCGCCGGGAAAGGCCCTGGCGAAAGAGGAGCAGCGTGTCCAGGAGCAGGCAGCCTGGACATGGGAGGAGATATTGGACGGTAAAGGGTCCTGGACTTGGGGGGAAATCCTGGCCGGGATGGATCGCCGGCCATGGAGTGAGACAGTGGAGAGGCGACGGAGAGAGGAGCAACGGCGTGATCAGGGTCGTCGTCGGACGGTCGTGAGGCAACCCCAGAAATTTTTTAGGGGGGGGCACACGGCATGGACGACGGGGCTGACGGAGGAGAAAAGGGGGCGGATCCAGAAGGCCACCAGACCAGGGGTTCACCGCCCTGTACGTCCTGTGCGGATGCCTCACACAGAGTGTGTGAGGGTAGGAATTCAGCCAGGACGGGTGGTGGCCGCTCTTCACTCCAGGCCTCCTATCCGTCTCCACAGCCCGGTTCGGCCTGTCCCTGCTCCACGCACCAAGCCTACGGTGTGCGTCGCCAGCCCAGCCCGGCCTGTCCCTGCTCCACGCACCAAGCCTACGGTGTGCGTCGCCAGCCCAGTCCGGCCTGTCCCTGCTCCACGCACCAAGCCTACGGTGTGCGTCGACAGCCCAGCCCGGCCTGTTCCTGCTCCACGCACCAAGCCTACGGTGTGCGTCGCCAGCCCAGTCCGGCCTGTCCCTGCTCCACGCACCAAGCCTACGGTGTGCGTCGCCAGCCCAGTCCGGCCTGTCCCTGCTCCACGCACCAAGCCTACGGTGTGCGTCGACAGCCCAGCCCGGCCTGTTCCTGCTCCACGCACCAAGCCTACGGTGTGCGTCGCCAGCCCAGTCCGGCCTGTCCCTTTTCCACGCACCAAGCCTACGGTGTGCGTCGCCAGCCCAGTCCGGCCTGTCCCTGCTCCACGCACCAAGCCTACGGTGTGCGTCGCCAGCCCAGTCCGGCCTGTCCCTGCTCCACGCACCAAGCCTACGGTGTGCGTCGCCAGCCCAGTCCGGCCTGTCCCTGCTCCACGCACCAAGCCTACGGTGTGCGTCGCCAGCCCGGTCCGGCCTGTTCCTGCCACCCGCACCAAGTCTACGGTGCGCGTCGCCAGCCCGACCCGGCCTGTTCCTGCCACCCGCACCAAACCTACGGTGCGCGTCGCCAGCCCGGTCCGGCCTGTTCCTGCCACTCGCACTAAGCCAGGGGTGCGAGAAGTCAGCCTGGTAAGGCCCGTTCCTTCTCCACGCACCAAGCCAGGGGTGCGAGTCGTCAGCCTGGTAAGGCCCGTTCCTCCTCCACGCATCAAGCCAGGGGTGCGCGTCGTCAGCCTGGTAAGGCCCGTTCCTCCTCCACGCACCAAGCCAGGGGTGCGAGTCGACAGCCTGGTAAGGATCGCTCCTGTTAAGTCCAGTCCTGCTCCAGCCGGCGGGGCCAGACTGGACCAGGGGTACTATGGGGGGTGTATTGGAGGGTGGTGGTCAAGGCCGGAGCCAGAACCGCCGCCGAGGAGGTATGCCCGCCCAGCCCTCCCCTGGTTTGTTTAGTTGAGGCGCGGTCGCAGTCCGCGCCTTTAGGGGGGGGTACTGTCACACCCTGGCTCTGGGACTCATTATGTTGAGCCAGGGTGTGTTCATTTCTATGTGTGTATTTCTATGTTGGTGTTCATTCTAGTTTGTTGTATTCTATGTTTGCCTGAGTGACTCCCAATCAGAGGCAACGAGTGTCAGCAGTTGGCTGGTTGTCTCTGATTGGGAGCCATATTTAAACTGTATGTTTTCCCTTTGTGGTTGTGGGTTTTTGTTCCGTGTTCAGTCATTGATACCGTGGACGTCACGAGTCGTGTTTTGTTTTGTATTTTGACGCTTTAACTAATTAAAGTCATGTTTGTTCATCACGCTGCGCCTTGGTCTACTCCTTACCTCGACCTTGACACCAGGCGAAAAAACCTTTCCAAGCCAAACCTTCATATCATGACTGCTAACCGCTACACACAGCCTACATCATTGACACCTCATCGTCAACATAACTACTAGAACTAACGCGTTAGTAAACCCACTACAATCATGCAGTACAGTGTAGTCAGAAAGCAGTTTGGCAGTTACACCGGCAGGCCCCGGTGGCAATAAATTAATAAAACCAAAAACGTACCTTAACTTGGAAGAGTTCCGGTGTTGGACAGCAATAGCCAGCTAGCTAACATAGCATCCCTCTCTGTTTAAATAGGCTAAACTAGTTAGCTGCATTCAGCTAGCTAAGTGAAAGTTAAAGTTAAATTTTAAAAAATTCAACCAAATCTAGTTAGCCAGCTCTCTCTCTCGCTCGCTTCTCCTTAATTTTGGAAGAAATTAATTTGTTCAAAACTGTTCAACTATTGTTTTTCTCTCTCACCACGTTGTTATGCACTGCAGTGCTAGCTAGCTGTAGCTTATGCTTTCAGTACTAGATTCATTTTCTGATCCTTTGATTGGATGGACAAGATGTCAGTTCATGCTGTAAGAGCTCTGATATGTTGGAGGACGTCCTCCGGAAGTTGTCATAATTACTGTGGAAGTCTGTGGAAGGGACCTTCATTGCAAAACAGTGTGTTTTAATCAATTATTTGGTGATGTGAATATATTTAGTATATGAAATTCACTGAGGAGGATGGTCCTCTCCTTCCTCTTCTGAGGAGCCTCCACTGCGGTATATAGTAAAATATGGTATACCGCCCAGCCCTAGTTCCAGCTTGTGTGCATTTCTTAGTGATCCTGTATGGGTGAGTTTGTGTGCCTGCGTGTGATCCTGTATGGGTGAGTTTGTGTGCCTGCGTGTGATTCTGTATGGGTGAGTTTGTGTGCCTGCGTGTGATCCTGTATGGGTGAGTTTGTGTGCCTGCGTGTGATCCTGTATGGGTGAGTTTGTGTGCCTGCGTGTGATCCTGTATGGGTGAATTTGTGTGCCTGCGTGTGATCCTGTATGGGTGAGTTTGTGTGCCTGCGTGTGATCCTGTATGGGTGAGTTTGTGTGCCTGCGTGTGATCCTGTATGGGTGAGTTTGTGTGCCTGCGTGTGATCCTGTATGGGTGAGTTTGTGTGCCTGCGTGTGATCCTGTATGGGTGAGTTTGTGTGCCTGCGTGTGATTCTGTATGTATGTGTGATTATGTACTGATGTGTTGGTATAGTGCTGTGGTTGTAGCTGGACTATGCAATTCTTTTTGAGACAGGCCTGTCATGGTTGACATTCTTGGCGCTGTGACAGCTGGCAGATGCTTTTCCTGGCAGAGTATCAACTGAAGGGGCCAGGGTGTAGCAGCAATCGAGAAGACACGTCTGCTAAACACTGTTCTTTACATCACTGTCTCCATAACTGTCTCTTTCACCTATTGGTGAACCACATCAGCCTAATGTATCTGTCTCATTAGCGGCTTCATTTAAAAGTTGTTTTTAACCAGTAGCAGCACTGCTTATATCTGATATATCTGATACTTCAATGCTCCAAGTCAAGGTATGAATATGTGCACATTATCTATACTGGAATGCACACTAGTGCCAGCAAATCATAATTTGCTTTCAGAAGAACAATTAGAGCTAAAACTTCTGTTCTTGGGGTCAGTCTTGTGGTTCACTCTGCTCTGGGTCAGTATAGGTTGGTGGCAGCCAGACATTCCAATGCTGTTTATCTATAGACCAAGAGTGGAAATTTCCATAGGGGGCATGTGATCTTTCTCACAATGAAGGCAGAAGACACACAGTCACAGATTCACACCTCTCCACTCCAGTCTTATGGTGTTATTGAACAGGCTGTAAACTCACTCTTGGTGGTAACGTCTTGGTAGAATTGACAAATTGTAGCCTACAAAAAGGTGAAAATGTGTTTTTGACCAGTGCCCAATGAAGAGGGTGGAGGGTGCGACGTTTTAGCAAAGTGTGTTTATTCAGAAAACGCCCCTTGTCCCCGAGTCGAGTGGTTTATTGCACACAAAGGTCTCCAAAGTAGTGTAAAATGTCCCTCTGGTTAGCAGCGATTGTTGTAAACTACTGTGCATCATATATCCTACCCCACTAAATTCCACCTCATTCATGAGTGTTGAGAGCAGAGTAACTAATAGGGCTGGGAATTGCCAGGGACCTCACGATACGATATTATCACAATACTTAGGTGCCGATACGATATGTATTAAGATTCTCACAATTCTATATGTATTGCGATTCGATACTGTGATTTTATTGCTATTCGATGTACCAAACATTGCTCACCATATGTCTGCAACTAGCGCAAAAATAATATTGCGATGTTGTGAAAACTATATGTTATGATGAGTTTCTAGGGTATCAAGTGATTACGTATGTAAGGATGTACTTAGACACTTTTGATGGGGAGTTCATATAATATATTTAATATGGTACCATGGTTAGTTATAACAGACAAAGGACATGGCCCTGCCTCTGCCATCTTCCAACTCCAGAACAAAGATCCACTCTCTCTATATATACACTATGTTACAAGTTTCTTCACGAACATCTGGTAAACCTCCATGGGCACGCCCTTTCTTTAATGTTATTACCCTTTACCCCTGTCACTATATCCTGTCCATCAATTATTCTAAGATCAACCTCAGTAATCTCCTTTGACAAAATGGAATGTAGACTCTGTGGCACCAAGCCACTTATCTACCAACTCTCCCGTCTCACACAACGCTATGCAATGACATCATTACACTATACAATACGATATATCGTCAAAGATAATATCCCAATATGTAACTATGTATTTTTTCCCCCCATCACTAGTAACATATATTTAGTTTTAAATGGGTCAACTGTTTTATGAATGCTGAATGTTTTACATAATACGTTTGAAACCCAAGGCTTCAACTTGATATCATCTTCAGCAAGTCGGTATATTTATCACAATATATGTCAACATAACAAAATAGCAACATCTTAATATGGTCTGTGTCTAGTTTTCCGAATGCGGATGTTTTTAGGATTGACCTAGTTTTCTTCAACAAATATCTTTGCAGATTACCCTTTGCTGAATGAATAAAACGTACCTCAGTGAATTGTGTTACTGTTATTCCAGGTATTCCCTATAAGCAGCTGACGGTGGGTGTACCGAAGGAGATCTTCCAGAATGAGCGTCGTGTGGCTCTGTCCCCGGCCGGAGTGCAGGCCCTTATCAAACAGGGCTTCAACGTGGTGGTGGAGTCTGGGGCAGGAGAGCCCTCCAAGTTCCCCGATCAACAATACATCCAGGCTGGAGCCACCATCGAAGACGTCAAAGATGTCCTGGGCTCTGATGTGCTGGTCAAGGTAAGGGAAGAGGCTATGTAAGTGATGAAAATAGGGTGGATAGTCATTTAACCCTCATTTGCTGCCATGGTAACTATTGTATCGCGTAAGGGATTTTACATCAAATGTCTCTATCGCTTGTCTGTGTGTTTGTGTCTGTGTCTCTCTCTCAGGTGCGTGCTCCCATCTTCAACCCTGAGCTGGGAGCCCATGAGGTGGAGCTGATGAAGGAGGCAGCCACTCTGTTCAGCTTCATCTACCCGGCCCAGAACCCTGAGCTGATGGACATGCTCTCCCAGAGGAAGGCCACCGTGCTGGCCATGGACCAGGTGCCCCGCGTCACCATCGCACAGGGCTACGACGCTCTCAGCTCCATGGCTAACATTGCAGGGTGAGGACATGGGACGGTATGGGTGGTGTGAGGGAGGGAGGGGGGTGGGACGACTCCCAGAGCTGGGGGGGGTGGGGGACTCCCAGAGCTGGGTCACTTGCCTTTTTCTTGCTAATGTGCTTTATTTGTGTAGCTTACAATGACAAATGGCTAAATGGTGAGACAATGCTGGAAGACTAGAGAGACAAGTAAAAGCTAAATCTTCAAAGGTACAAGTTTATGTCCAGGATAAGTATTTTGAAATGCAACTAGAATGAATGAGCCTGTGTCTGAGGCAGTTTGTTTTAATGACGGAGGTTGTCGTGTCATTAAAATGGAAAACATTTGCTTGTTGAATGCACTTCTCTTGGTCTGCTCACTACTGTGTCTGTCCAGCTGTATCATCTTGGCTCTGCTGTGTGTGTGTGTGTGTCTCGGTGTGTGTGGTCCACTTGGCAGAGTAAACCGCTGTGATGTATTTTGAGGCTGGGTAGACGTGCTCTGACAGTATTTGTAATTGGCCATTTTCTGTGCCTGTGTTTCCAGATACAAAGCTGTTGTGCTGGCAGCCAACAGCTTTGGGCGCTTCTTCACTGGACAGATCACTGCTGCTGGAAAGGTCCCACCTGCTAAGGTGCTGATCATTGGAGGAGGAGTAGCAGGTCTGGCTGCTGCTGGTACTGCCAGAGCCATGGGTGCTATCGTCAGGGGCTTCGACACTCGGTGAGTGGGACCACCCAACCCTGGATATTCAGCCATTACTTTACCAATGAAATCACTGGGACTCATTGGTTGGTTCATTATCACATTGTAGAGCTGCTCCCTTATTTGTTTTATTGAGATTTCTTTCCAAGTCAAATCCAATTTCATTTGTCACATGCTTTGTAAACAACAGGTGTAAATTAACAGTGAAATGCTTACAGACGGTCCTTCACAACAATGCAGAGAGAGAAAAATGAGAAATAAAAAATAACACGAGGAATAAATACACAATGAGTAACGATAACTTGGCTATATACACAGGGTACCAGTACAGAGTCGATGTGCAGGACTACGATGTAACTGAGGTAGATATGTACATATAGGTAGGGATAATGTGACTATGCAACAGGATAGATAAAAAACAGTAACAGCAGCATATGTGATGAGTCAAAAGATTTGAAAGTGTGATGTTGCTAATTCTCCAGGTGGTGGTAGTAGCTGCATTACAAATGAGAATTTGCAGCTCATTGTCTTTAGAAAACGGTAGATTGCTTCCACTTACTTAAAAGGGTGGAATAATGGGATAAAACGCTGTTTCTTTACTATTTTTACTCTCCAGATTCAAAGATTTGAATCTCACCACATTGTTTACTACTTGCAGATTTTACAACAATCATAGACATAGCCTATGCTCCTGCAGTGATGCTGTAGAATGTATCAGGGGCTTCCATTAAGTGCCCCGTCCGCCCTGCCAGTGCCTTCCATGACATCCCCTGTGTTCCCTCCCCAGAGCGGCGGCCTTAGAGCAGTTCAAGTCTCTGGGAGCAGAGACTCTGGAGGTGGACATTAAGGAGGCTGGCGACGGCCAGGGCGGCTACGCCAAGGAGATGTCCAAGGAGTTCATCGAGGCTGAAATGAAGCTGTTTGCTAAGCAGTGTCTGGAAGTAGACATCCTCATCAGCACGGCACTCATCCCCGGTATGCACAGTGATATAACCAACAACACCTCACTACCCCTATCCCTTCCCATAGACACACCTCACTACCCCTATCCCTTCCCATAGACACACCTCACTACCCCTATACCTACCGTAGAGACACACCTCCCTACCCCCTATCCCCTTACCGTAGAGAACCCAACTCACTACCCTATACACCTACGTAGAGCACACTCACTACCCTATCCCCTTACCATAGAGAAACACCTCATACCCTATCCCTTTTCCATAGACAAACCTCACTACCCCCTATCCCTTCCCATAGACCAACCTCACTACCCCTACCCCTACCGTAGAGACACACCTCACTTACCCCTATCCCATACCGTAGACACACATCATACCCCTTCCCCTACCGTAGAGACAAACCTCACTACCCCTATTCCCCTACCATAGAACACCTCACTACCACTATCCCTTCCATAGACACACATCACTACCCCTATCCATTAACATAGACACACCTCACTACCCCTATCCCCTACCGTAGAGACACCACCTCAATACCCCTATCCCCTAAATAGGACACACATCACTACCCTCTCCCTACCGTAGAGACACACTCACTACCCCTATCCCATCCCATAGCCACCACCTCACTACCCCTATACCCCTACCGTAGAGACACCTCACTAAACCCCCCCCTATCCCCTACCAGAGACACACCTCATACCACTTAGCACCTACCGTATAGACACCTCACTACCCTATACCCTACCATAGACACACCTCACTACCCATAATCACCTACCGTAGACACACATCCTACCCCTATCCCCTACAGTAGACACCCCTCACTACCCCTATCACCTCCCCTAGACCAACCTCACTGACCCATATCCCCTCCATAGACACACCTCACTACCCCATCCCCTACCGTAGAGACACACCTCACTACCCCTATCCCCTCCCATAGACACACCTCACTACCCCCTATCCCCTACCATAGAGACACACCTCACTACCCCTATCCCCTCCCATAGACACACCTCACTACCCCCTATCCCCTACCATAGAGACACACCTCACTACCCCTATCCCCTACCATAGAGACACACCTCACTACCCCTATCCCCTACCATAGACACACCTCACTACCCCTATCCCCTACCGTAGAGACACACCTCACTACCCCTATCCCCTCCCATAGACACACCTCACTACCCCTATCCCCTACCGTAGAGACACACCTCACTACCCCTATCCCCTCCCATAGACACACCTCACTACCCCTATCCCCTACCATAGAGACACACCTCACTACCCCTATCCCCTCCCATAGACACACCTCACTACCCCTATCCCCTACCATAGAGACACACCTCACTACCCCTATCCCCTCCCATAGACACACCTCACTACCCCTATCCCCTCCCATAGACACACCTCACTACCCCTATCCCCTCCCATAGACACACCTCACTACCCCTATCCCCTACCGTAGAGACACACCTCACTACCCCCTATCCCCTACCGTAGAGACACCTCACTACCCCTATCCCCTCCCATAGACACACCTCACTACCCCTATCCCCTACCGTAGAGACACCTCACTACCCCTATCCCCTACCGTAGAGACACACCTCACTACCCCTATCCCCTCCCATAGACACACCTCACTACCCCTATCCCCTACCGTAGAGACACACCTCACTACCCCTATCCCCTACCATAGAGACACACCTCACTACCCCTATCCCCTCCCATAGACACACCTCACTACCCCCTATCCCCTACCGTAGAGACACACCTCACTACCCCTATCCCCTACCATAGACACACCTCACTACCCCCCTATCCCCTACCGTAGACACACCTCACTACCCCTATCCCCTCCCATAGACACACCTCACTACCCCTATCCCCTACCATAGACACACCTCACTACCCCTATCCCCGCCCATAGACACACCTCACTACCCCTATCCCCTACCGTAGACACACCTCACTACCCCCTATCCCCTACCATAGAGACACACCTCACTACCCCTATCCCCTACCGTAGACACACCTCACTACCCCCTATCCCCTACCATAGAGACACATCCGTATCTATATCTTTATCATCTTAATCTACCTGCTTTACATCCCTTTACATCTTCTGCTGCGCTGCAGTCCTCCTAGTCTTCTGCTGCGCTGCAGTCCTCCTAGTCTTCTGCTGCGCTGCAGTCCTCCTAGTCTTCTGCTGCGCTGCAGTCCTCCTAGTCTGATCTGTTTGTGTTCTGGCCTACTCACTCCATTGTCATTGTCATCAAACAGTTTGACTTGAGAGCAGAACATCTGGCAACCAGGCTATTGTCACCCCTGATTTCACCCATTTGAAATGCATGTACTGCTATCATCAGCTCTCATCTGTCCAATCCTCTCAGGCTCTAAGCTGCTTTAAGGCTTCTTCAGCTTAGTTACCTAGTGTAGTTAAGGTAGTGTTTAAGCCCTATCCATCTGGTTAACTCTGCCCCTCAAGGCTGAGTTGATATTATTCCGTTCCTGTAGCAGCCTATAACAGACCACAGAGACACCATAGAGAAATTGCTACGCTCAAATCAACTCAAGCTTTATTTATACAGCACATTTCAGACATGGAATGCAACGCAATGTGCAAAAAAATGAATGAAAATAATATTAGCTACACAACAAACATAAGAAGATAAAAAAACTAAAGAATAACAATAATAATGTGATCAGATATTCAGAGGAAGTTATGAATTACATTCTCCTCTCCACTGACATGTCATGTGGTTGAACTGGTGCCAAAGTCACTGATGTTGTGTAATGGTCCCAGCCCTAGGGCATGTTGTCCTGGCCGCTATACTAATGCTACTGGTCCTGTTGAGTGGAGAGACCGACTCCTTTGGTCTGGTTGACACCAGCCTACCCTAGCCTTATCAGTACTGATGTCTCCTGTTCTGACCAGTTCAACATGGTCCTCTGTAGCTCAGCGTGGTCCTCTGTAGCTCAGCGTGGTCCTCTGTAGCTCAGCTGGTAGAGCATGGTGCTTGTAACGCCAAGGTTGTGGGTTCGATCCCCGGGACCACCCATACGTAAAAATGTATGCACGCATGACTGTAAGTCGCTTTGGATAAAAGCGTCTGCTAAATGGCATATTATATTATTATTATTATTATTATTATTATTATTATATTTATATTATTATATGATCTTGAAAGAGTTTCTGTGTTCTCATGAGATCTGTTTACTTTAAAGCTAGTGTAAACGTCAGAAGGGACCCGAAAACATTGCCTAGCGTAAACCGAGAACAACAAACTGCAATTAGTTTATTTGCCAGGGTTTGATTCATTGTCGTTAAATCCAGATTTTAAGACGTTGTTGTACAGAAGGCTGAATAAAGAGGTCAGCTGCTGATTGAGCACCCTGCTGGTACTGCAGACAAGACCCCTGTGTCACCATGGTGATGTGTCCTGTCGCCAGGTCGCAAGGCCCCCATCCTGATCACCAAGGACATGGTGGAGAGCATGAAGGATGGCTCTGTGGTGGTGGACCTGGCTGCTGAGGCTGGAGGAAACATCGAAACCACGGTGCCTGGAGAACTGTCTGTACACAAGGTCAGATGGGCCTGTCCACAGTTTCAATTTCATCATCACTATTTTCCCTTTTGAACCGGCTCCTTGTTGTCAGTCATCTTGTTAGCTTCTGTGTTTTGTTTTCCTAGCAATGAAATCATACCACCATGTCACCTTGTTACAGTATTATAATTCAATCCCATTTTAACCGGTCAAAATGAGAATGCACAATTTTGGTCTTTCAATAAAATAACTGGTTATGTGTTTTGTTTTTAGGGTGTGACCCACATTGGCTTCACTGACCTGCCCAGCCGCCTGCCCACCCAGTCCAGCACCCTGTACTCCAACAACCTGACCAAACTCATCCGTGCCATCAGCCCTTCCACTGAGAACTTCAACTATGAGGTCAAGGAGAAATTTAACTACGGCACCATGGACCATGTCATCAGAGGATCTATTGTCATGCAGGTGAATCATCGGGGTTAATGGGTTTGGTTACCTTGGTTATCTGTTTTTTAGCACAAGGGAAGATTGGTTAATTAGATCATGGTGAATCTATACTCTCTACTTCTACAGTTAAAAAATGAAAATAGTCTTTGTTGATTGGTTTGTTTGGTAATGAAGTGTTTTGATAGTGTTTGGTGAAAGTGAAATGTTGATCTCAAATGTACATCCATGCATTGTTGACTTCTGTTTGGTTGGCATTCTCAATCATTTTCACCTTTCTATCTGATGCAGAATGGAACCAACCTCTTCCCAGCTCCTCTGCCCGATAACATCCCAGTGGCAGCCCCTCCCAAACCCAAGAGCAAGCAGGAGCTGGCTAAGGAGAAGGCTGCTGCCGTGTCCCCTTTCAAGGCTACCCTGACTACCACTGGCATGTACACTGGAGGTGAGAGACACCATCACTGACTGCACTGACTGCCTAGACTCTTCATTCATTTATACTTACATTGCCTTCAGAAAGTATTCACACCCCTTGACTTTTTCCACATTGTTGTTACATTTAAAATGGATTACATTTAGAATTGTTTTTGTCACTGGCCTACACACAATACCCCATAACGTGAAAGTGGAATTGTGTTTTTCAAAATTTTTACAAATGAAAAGCTGAAATGTCTTGAGTCAATAAGTATTCAACACATTTGTTAGGGCAAGCCTAAATAAGTACAGGAGTAAAAATGTGCTTATTAAGTCACATAATAAGTTGCATGGACTCTGTGTGCAATAATAGTGTTTAACATGATTTTAGAATGACTACCTCTTCTCTGTACCCCACACGTACAATTATCTTTAAGGTCCCTCAGTCGAGCAGTGAATTTCAAACACAGATTCAACCACAAAGACCAGGGAGATTTTCCAATGCCTCGCAAAGAAGGACACCTATTGGTAGATGGGTAAAAATAAAAAGCAGACATTGAAAATCTCTTTGAGCATGGTGAAGTTATTAATTACACTTTGGATGGTGTCACTACAAAGATACAGGTGTACTTCCTAACTCAGTTGCCGGAGAGGAAGGAAACCGCTCAGGGATTTCACCGAGGCCAATGCAATGGTGACTTTAAAACCATTTAGAGTTTAATGGCAGTGATAGGACAAAACTGAGGATGGATCAACAACATTGTAGTTACTCTACAATACTAACCTAACTGACAGAGTGAAAAGAAGGAAGCCTGTACAGAATAAAAATATTCCAAAACATGCATCAAGGCACTAAAGTAAAACTGCAAAAAATGTGGCAAAGCAATTAACGTTTTATCCTGAATACAAAGTGTTATGTTTGGGACAAATCCAATACAACACATTACTGAGTTCCACTCTCCATATTTTCAAGCATAGTGGTGGCTGCATCATGTAATGGGTAATCGTTAAGGACTGCTTGTAATCGTTAAGGACTTTTTCAGGATAAAAAAGAAACGTAATGGATCAAAGCACAGGCAAAATCCTAGAGGAAAACCTGATTCAGTCTGCTTTCCACCAGACACTGGGAGATTAATTCACCTTTCAGCAGGACAATAACCTAAAACACAAGGTCAATTCTACACTGGAATTGCTTACCAAGAAGACAGTGAATGTTCCTTAGTGGCCGAGTTACAGATTTGACTTAAATCTGCTTGAAAATGTATGGCAAAACATGAAAATGGTTGTCTAGCAATGATCAACAACCAATTTGACAGAGCTTGAAGAATTTTGAAAATAACAATGGGCAAATACTGTACAATCCAGGGGTGCAAAGCTCTTAGAGACTTACCCAGAAAGACTCAGCTGTAATCGCTGCCAAAGGTGATTCTAACATGTATTGACTCAGGGATGTGAATACTTATGTAAATGAGATATTTCTGTATTTCATTTTCAAACAATGTGCAAAAACAAATTCCAAACATGTTTTCACTTTGTCATCAAGGGGGTATTATGTGTAGATTGGTGAGAAACAATCAATTGAATCCATTTTGAACTCAGGTTGTAACTCAACAAAATGTGGAATAATTCAAGCAGTATGAATACTTTCTGAAGGCACTACCTTGCCTTCCAGGGTCATGTTCAGTAGGTAACAAAGGGAAGAAAGCTGAGTAAAATGGGGAGAAACTACCTGGTCCAATAAGAAAGGCACATTTCTATGTTCTGTTGCAAAACATCTTGCTACAGGGTCGCGGGAGTTTTTTAAAATGCGAATATTGGGCCGCGTCTGAGACAACCTAGTCCAATTTGGGTCCCAAGGCAAAACCAGTTGAGAACCACTGCCCTAATGAACACCACCCCGGTCTAAGTCAGTCGTTTACTTAATTATAATGTAAGGGGAATAAAATGGCTGACACAGCAGAAAGCGGAGGATGCAGAGCAACCCTGGCTGTCAGGATAATGGCCCCTAAACTGAGCCGTGTCATGAGTCTCTCTGAGCTCCTATGGTGGTCTCGCTCTCCTCACCCTGACCTGGGTTAACAGGACTATCGCGGGGGGTTAAAAGCAACATGTTAATGTTTTATTACCATTCACATTCATTACATTTTTACATTCTCTACTAACACTCACAAGCCATCCACATATCTGACTTATGTGGGAAAGGTGAGCTGTGACCCCATTCTGAGAGCAGCACCAGTCGTGATCAGACATAAAAGCTACACTGAACAGAAATCCCTGCAGATTATTTATATTGGTTACAGACGGGGGCTCAGATGTTAGTCTGTGTTAGAGAGAGGAGGCAGGCACCAACTGTCGTCTCTGTTCTGTTCTGGAATCACATCAAAGAGACCCAGAGAACACGTCCTCCTTCCCCAACATTCAGACAGACGAGCCACAATCTGGGTTCACACGTAAATAAACACCTGAGATAAACAAACAAGCACATTCATCTTCCTGTCCTTTCTTGAGTTAGTTCGCTCCGTATCTCTGTCTTTCCCTGCTGAAGCCAAGGAAGGTGCTGCTGGAGCATTGTGATGTCCTGACCACCGGATCAGCCACATGAGAGGCCAGAAAGGATGAGAGCCCCTTTGAAATTAGGATTGGTCACCTAATTAGAGCTCAACCTAACATGGCCCCTCCCTCCCTCCCTCTCAACCCAACCACCCCCAGCCCAAACCACCACCAGCAGCCCCTTAGTGCCAGGAAACTGGGAATAATAAAATGTGGGATGTGGCCCCCCCCCCCCCCCCCCCCCCCCCCGCTGTGTCTGTCTGAAGTAGTGTTGTATCTGTTTCCCACAGACACTTGCTCTGGTAGTGGCGACTGGAGACGGCAGGCCTGTAAACCCCGTTCACACGTTCCCCCGAGCAGCTCATTCTAGGTTGGCTGTGGTGTACCACCACCATACTTGGGTTGCTGTCTGTAATTGCGCCTAGCTAAATTTCTAACCCCAACGTGTCTGTCTCTTGTCCTCACTTAAGAAAATTAGTAAACATTAGAAAGAGTCAGCATTTCTACTCTACAATATCTAGTGTGCCTCACATGACATGGCCTAATTAAATTCAACACCTTATGACGGTCAATGATTTGTTTTTGTTTTTTTCACTTGCATTTCAATGAGTAGAAAGCCCTTGGCTATATTACATATGGACATTAGATATGCGACGTGGGCTAGTGTTAAGTTATTTATTAACCCTTTCCCCCTCTCAGGTCTTGGCACCATGTTAGGCCTGGGCCTGGCTGCGCCGAACACAGCCTTCCCTCAGATGGTGACCATCTTCGGCCTGGCTACCATTGTGGGCTACCACACGGTGTGGGGGGTGAGCCCAGCCCTTCACTCCCCACTCATGTCCGTTACCAACGCCATCTCTGGTGAGTGTTTATGAAGACTCCTCTTAATGAAATGGATACAGTGCAAAGAAGACTACATTTACATTTTAGTCATTTAGCCAGAGCGACTTACAGTTAGTGCATTCATCTTAAGATGGCTAGGTGGGACAACCACATATCTCAGTCGTAGTAAGTACATTTTTACTCAAAGTACAGTGGGGAAAAAATGTATTTAGTCAGCCACCAATTGTGCAAGTTCTCCCACTTAAAAAGATGAGAGAGGCCTGTAATTTTCATCATAGGTACACGTCAACTATGACAGACAAAATGAGAAAAAAAAATCGAGAAAATCACATTGTAGGATTTTTCATGAATTTATTTCCAAATTATGGTGGAAAATAAGTATTTGGTCAATAACAAAAGTTTCTCAATACTTTGTTATATACCCTTTGTTGGCAATGACACAGGTCAAACGTTTTCTGTAAGTCTTCACAAGGTTTTCACACACTGTTGCTGGTATTTTGGACCATTCCTCCATGCAGATCTCCTCTAGTGCAGTGATGTTTTGGGGCTGTCGCTGGGCAACACGGACTTTCAACTCCCTCCAAAGATTTTCTATGGGGTTGAGATCTGGAGACTGGCTAGGCCACTCCAGGACCTTGAAATGCTTCTTACGAAGCCACTCCTTCGTTGCCCGGGCGGTGTGTTTGGGATCATTGTCATGCTGAAAGACCCAGCCACGTTTCATCTTCAATGTCCTTGCTGATGGAAGGAGGTTTTCACTCAAAATCTCACGATACATGGCCCCATTCATTCTTTCCTTTACACGGATCAGTCGTCCTGGTCCCTTTGCAGGAAAACAGCCCCAAAGCATGATGTTTCCACACCCATGCTTCACAGTAGGTATGGTGCTCTTTGGATGCAACTCAGCATTCTTTGTCCTCCAAACACGACGAGTTGAGTTTTTACCAAAAAGTTATATTTTGGTTTCATCTGACCATATAACATTCTCCCAATCCTCTTCTGGATCATCCAAATGCACTCTAGCAAACTTCAGACGGGCCTGGACATGTACTGGCTTAAGCAGGGGGACACGTCTGGCACTGCTGGATTTCAGTCCCTGGCGGTGTAGTGTGTTACTGATGGTAGGCTTTGTTACTTTGGTCCCGGCTCTCTGCAGGTCATTCACTAGGTCCCCCCATGTGGTTCTGGGATTTTTGCTCACCGTTCTTGTGATCATTTTGACCCCACGGGGTGAGATCTTGCGTGGAGCCCCACATCGAGGGAGATTATCAGTGGTCTTGTATGTCTTCCATTTCCTAATAATTGCTCCCACAGTTGTTTTCTTCAAACCAAGCTGCTTACCTATTGCAGATTCAGTCTTCCCATTCTGGTGCAGGTCTACAATTTTGTTTCTGGTGTCCTTTGACAGCTCTTTGGTCTTGGCCATAGTGGAGTTTGGAGTGTGACTGTTTGAGGTTGTGGACAGTTGTCTTTTATACTGATAACAAGTTCAAACAGGTGCCATTAATACAGGTAACAAGTGGAGGACAGAGGAGCCTCTTAAAGAAGAAGTTACAGGTCTGTGAGAGCCAGAAATCTTGCTTGTTTGTAGATGACCAAATACTTATTTTCCACCATAATTTGCAAATAAATTCATTAAAAATCCTACAATGTGATTTTCTGGAATTTCTTTTCTCAATTTGTCTGTCATAGTTGACGAGTACCTATGATGAAAATTACAGGCCTCTCTAATCTTTTTAAGTGGGAGAACTTGCACAATTGGTGGCTGACTAAATACTTTTTTTCCCCACTGTAGCTATCAGTAAAGTCAGTGCTAGTAATAAATATAAAAGTCAAGTTTGAGTGTTAGTTCACTAAAGGCAAGTCTAAACATAGGCAAGTCATTATTTTGTAATTTAGTATATTTAGTAATGTATTTATAGATATGAAGGGAGGTAAACTTACTGATGAAAATGCATATATGCCTACATTACTTCACTTGGGATTTGGCTTCAAATGAGAATAAATCTCGTTTTTAAACCCAAATGTTATTAATTTGATTTACTAGTCCATAAAAGGCAATCCTGTAACTGTCCAGAGGAGATTCCTTTACAGACCTGGTGGTGAAATCTCCCTCCACCTCCACACCTGCAGGTGCTCTCTTCTCAGTGATGAGTAAGACCTGGAGGGAACAGGAAATGATTCATGATCCTTGTAGTCTGGATGATTTAAAACTCTTCTACTCCAGAGTTGAGATCTGCTTCAAGCAACTAAAAGCATAAGTCTCAGGTTCCACTCTGAATATAGGCTAACAAATTATAGTAGATTAATCTGTAATTTAATATTTCTTTGTCTGCAAATAAAAGAGAAACTGATTATTAGGCTGATTTAAAATGGTAACTCAATGCTTGGATAGTGCTGAGAAGACATTTGATCATTACTCTGTCAAAGATGAAGAAGACATTAATTTGCGTACTGGTTCCTAGTTTTGATGTCTGTGGCGTTATTAGTTGCCCCTTGCCCTCTTTCCCACCATCCACGACTACTTCATTAACATGAGGCGTTATAGAGTGTGTGTGTGTGTGTGTGTGTGTGTGTGTGTGTGTGTGTGTGTGTGTGTGTGTGTGTGTGTGTATGTGTGTGTCTGTTCGCTCGCAGTGTTTTGATTACTCTTGACATGGGCGGAAGTGACAAGCTGGCTGTGGTATCTGGTGCTTCGTAAAGCTTTTCCTTGTTCCTCCCTGCGGCGGTAGGACAGTCGGTCACGACCAGGGTCTGGGTCCAGGAACCAGGAAAGGCTTGGTTGTTAATGAGCCCATGGTGGTCCAACATTAAAACCCCCTTCATGTCGCCACAGATGCTAACTTCAGAGAAGGCATGATGGGGGCATCCAATGGAGCAATTATCTCCCTGGACCTACTGCACAGTTCTTGTCAATTACTTTATTAGTGCACACTCTACACGTTAGTGCTGGGAATTGCCAGCGACCTCACGATAAGATAATATCACGATAATTAGATGCCGATACGATATGTATTGCGATTCTCACAATTCTATATGTATTGCAATTCGATACTGGAATTTTATTGCGATTTGATGTTCCAAACATATTACTCACGATGTCTGCCAGCGTTGTAGTACTCGAGACCAGTCTAGAGACCACATTGAGTGTCTCGGTCTTGTGTCGGAAACATTTTTACTCTGTCTTGATTCGGTCTCGGACAGTGAGGACTCGTCATTTCTTCCCGAGACCAGCGGAGTAAAAAAATCATACAGTAATTTCCGCTTCCATTCAGTCAGCGCATTAAAACCGCTATAGAATTTCCTTGATTCGCTGGTAGGGAAGAGTGGGGGGAATTGTTTGAAAGTTGCGTGCTCACTATTAGTAAGGGGAGACCGGGGGAAATTGTAGCAGTCTTACGCAACTTATGGTAGCCTAACACCCTCACTATCACCAAAAGTGACAACAGTGACACGTCGAAGGATGGGTGACAGGCCCGCGATGCTGAAAGGACAGCGACCTTATTACCAGCGCACTCAATGTAGGAGAGTGCACTTTTTGTAAAACACATAGGGCTGCTAGAAAGACAGCAGTAACACAGCATGATGTTAAAGGATAAGCAGTCATTCACTCGGACATAAAAGGCCAGTAGGTCCCAATCATAAGAATACGAAATACAACCATTAGGCTAAGCATTTCCCCAATCAAAATGTACAACTATTACTTCCCATTGCAAAAAAACATGATTCACCTTCAGCACACAATGTAACCGGTGATCTAAAGTTTAAATGCAACAATGTTTCACAAACAAGTTATTTTAAAAGAGATAGCTAACAGCAGCAATCAAGGTGCAATAAAAAACACATCTCCACTCACCAGATGATGATAATTTGAAACTTAACTTCTTGTTGAAAGTTAATCTTGAAAAGGGCGATGCTAACAAATTAGCAACAACATCCTCTTCGATTGCAGCCACTGCAAACTAGCCTAAAACAAAAGCTAGCTAGCTAGACTGTGGGAAAACTACTGCTCACTATTGTGCTGTGACCTGGTGGCCTTGGAGAAGGAAGAAGTTTCCATATGTTTTGTAAAAACGGTCCCACCCATTACAAGTCAAAATGGGATTGGTTGATTCCGTTGTCACTCCAAAATTCGTCCCGAATACAGTTGAATGACAGAAGGCATCTATCTAGCTTCTTATAGGCTAGCCAATGGCCGATTTAGCTAGCTAGATTTATCTCCCCAGTGTTAACCCTTTCCAACAAAAACTGAAGAGATTAAATCAGAACATCATTGAAAATAATAATATAATTATTATTTTATAAATCCTTAGCTCTTCTCTGAAGGGCTAGAAGGCCCTCGTTGTTCCCCACTGTGTTTGGGTTAGTAACAACTTGTAAAGTGGCTCTATTTGCCATCAGCATGCATTTTTTTCACCATTCTGAATGTCTAAAGAATCCATATGTTCTCCTGAAATATGAACACAGAAATAATGGACATTTTGAACTCTTATTATGGTGGTGATTTGACAATTACAATCATGGTCTTGAATCTCGGACGTCTCGTCCCCCTCTCGGTCTTGACTCGGTCTCGAGTCGGTCTTGACTCGATTCGCTCCGGTCTTGGTCTGGAATCGGTCTCGCTTTAGGTGGTCTCGAACACAACACTGATGTCTGCTGCAGAGAGACAAGCGAGAGCTTGGAGTCAAATACGATATATCGTTCAAAAATAAAATTGCGATATGTAACTGAATTTCTTTCCCCCATCACTACTACACATACCCCCCCACCCTAGTCAATCTCTATCCTCACACATTCTGTCTTGGGTGTGTTCCCCGCATATTTGGCATTACCTAAACGATGCCTTTTATTGTGGTCATGCAAAGAAGTGGAAACTTTGAAGCCATTGGAATTCTTGTTATTGTTGTGCCAAATGTAATAAAGCTGTAAGAGCCCGAGACGTTAGTGAAGCATAATGGAATTTGGACTTTCGTATTCTTAAGAGAGAGCGAGAAGTGCGTGTCAATCTCTGTCTGGAGCATTGGGTTACTTTTGATGGGGAACCCTTGGTTTTGCCCAATGGCAGTTATGGCGCCATCCTCCAGTCTCCTGACAGTGTCTTTAATCTACCTGAAACTATTGACTCACAATTTGCCAAAGTCTGCCCTTTCTGAAGTCTGCTCTAGGTGAGATGTGATGCACCTCCCATGGGACCTCATTTCTATTGTGTGTGGGTTTGTGTGATCAATATAGATATATAATATAGATATCACTGGCTGACTATTTAAGAGCTGTCTTGATAAGTCAGCAGGAGGTAGGTGGCATTGGTGTCTGTTTGGTCAGGTAGCCTATGTCTGTGATCTCAATGGCCTGACTATGACGCCCTTGTTTTCCAAATGTAACCTCATTGAGGGTGGAGTTAAGTCACCCTCTTTTCAAGGGAGGGAATCTTCAGGTGGGTATCTGATGGCATTAAGGTTTCAAAGTTGACCTTGTGGGCGACCATGTCTAGGATAGTGTGAGTGAGCAGCATGTCTCGCTTTTTGAGTGTGTGAGTAGATTTTTCTAACCTAATTGCCTGCTGATGTGTGCAGTGCACCTTTAATTCAACCTCTGGTCTGTCTGTGTGACTAATTGTTGCTGTGGAGTTCCAGAAAGGGACAGCCAGGAAAATCTCACCCAGTCAGACAGACACACAAACACATGACTGTGAGCCTGTTGGCTCTGTCTGACCAGCCTGTTGTTGTGTTGTTCACTAGAGTACAGCAGGCAGCATTTGTAAGTCATTATAGGGCTGATAGTTATCAGGATTCCCTCTGTGCTCTGACAATTTTCACAGTAAGCTGCACAGCTGTGCTCTAATGTGTAAGAAACATACCTGTCTTCACAGCACTTCAAATGTAATAAAGCTGTGTTTGTCTGACAAGGCAATTGGGTATAAAAGCAATACTCTTTTAGTGTTTTGTATTGTCATTTGTCATCAGTTCAACACGTGGGAGTAAGGGTGTGTTTTCACAGGCAGACAAATTCTGATCTTTTTCCACTGAATTGGTGTTTTGAACAATCAGATCAGTTTTTTTGCCAATAATTGTGCAAAAGATCAGAATTAGGCTGCCTGTGTAAACTCAGCCAAATGCATGTCTGGAATGGGTTGACATGTGATCTAAGCTGTGTTTTTATTCTAGGTCTGACAGCTGTGGGCGGTCTGTCTCTCATGGGGGGTGGCTATGCCCCCTCCTCCTCTGCCGAGACCCTGGCTGTCGCTGCTGCCTTCATTTCCTCAGTCAACATCGCTGGTGAGTGACTCTCTGGACTAAACCAGACAGTAACTGTGAAAACAGACAGTGAATGGAGCAGACAAACTGAGCTTCAGTTACCTCAACATTGTACCCCCTTGGACCCCTTATATAAGGTATTCCAATATGTAAGAGACAAGGATATCAGACCCTTTAGGGCCATTTTATTTCACTTGACTATATATTAAGAAAACTGGTAGAGCATCGTGGCAGGTGAAGTAAGGCTATTGCTCCACTGTGACCTCTTCCTCACCTGTGACCGTTAGTTGGTCCATGAACCCTGTTCGTGAGAGCAGACCTTCCCTAACTCCCTTCAGGTGGAAAATAAGGAATTCCACACCTGAACTGGAAGTGACTGAGTTATCTTCAAAAGGGCACCATTCATGCTATAAACCAGGCTTAGTCTAGCTCTGCTGAGAAGAAATGAGGGAACGTCGCTCGCTAATGGTAGTGTCAGGAAAGTCTTTGGTGCGTGATTCTAGACAGCCACTGAGGCAAACGCTGCAGAGGTCCAGAGGTCTCAGTCTGTGCGAGGGCACTCTGACAGGTCAGATTACCTAGCAGGGTCAAAGGTCATGCCAGGGATTTTGGCAGATTTTTGCCATTTGCTGTAATAACCAGTTATTATGACTCTCAGATCTCTTTTGTGCATGTGTTCCAGCGTGCTTAAAGTGCACCTCTTTATATATATATTTATATATGTATTTATACATATGTTTTATTTTATTTAAAGAGCAGATGTTTAATTTCAGTTTAAAGGTCCAGTTGGTTTCCATTCCACACGCAACATTTCTTAGTGGTCTATTGCGCCACCCATAAACCCTCACTAACATAAAAACTGACATTCCACCGTCTGTTTTCCTAGCCCTTCTTCTACAAGTTTTATATTGTCAAGTGAATACACAAAAAATTACCCTCCAATATTAGTTTCCATAAACTAGCCCTGAAATTTAGAGACTACCTGCTCCTTATACGACAGGGGTCAAGGAATAGTTTTTTCATCCTCTTGCTCTAGCCACAGTCTTTTTTGTTTTTCCATGTGTTTTTATAGCGGGAGCACGGAAAAATCCTTAAATACCTGCCCTTTGCATTCTTGAATCTGAATGTATTGACTTTGAGCCTCAGTCTGAAATTGTTTTTTAAAAAATGATTGGTGTGTTTAAGTGATTGAGGTCTGGGCTGGGCTAAAATTAGCCCGTACAGCTGAAGTGGACAGATGTTAGCCACTGGATAACCTGTCTGAGTGTAGTGGGGTTGAAGAGAACTCAGAGGAACGTTATCCGCCCCAGCAAAATGAAGTGTTCCGTCTGGTCGTTTATATCAGGGGATAAATTCTACTTTTGTGTGCAGTTTTAATGAGTTACTCAAATATCAAATAAGAGTGCAATAAATAATATTTGAAATATTACCGACTTCACCCTGTTATGCCTGAAGCATTCAAATTGTATTTGTCACATGCTTCGTAAACAACAGGTGTAGGCTAACAGTGAAATGCTTACGGGAAAAGTTAAACACGTTGTAATAAATACACAATGAGTACCGATAACTTGGTTATATACACGGGGTACGAGTTGATGTGCAGGGGTACGAGGTATTTGAGGTAGATATTTACATACACTGAGTGTACAAAACAACTTAATATTTTGTTTACTCAGTGTATAGTTAGGAATATAATAACCGATAATAAACAGGAGCAGCAGCGTATGTAATGAGTCAATAAAGTTAGGGCAAAAATGGTCAATGCAGATAGTCCGGGTATCTATTTGGTTAACTATTTAAGTAACTATTTAGCAGTCTTATGGCTTGGGGGTAGAAGCTATTCAGTGTCCTGTTGGTTCCAGACTTGGTGCTGTGCGGTAGCAGAGAGAACAGTCTATGACTTGGGTGGCTGGAGTCTTTGACCTTTTTTAGGGCCTTCCTCTGACACTGCGTGGTATAGAGGTCCTGGATGGCAGGGAGCTCGTACCCACTACCCTCTGTAGCGCCTTACGGTCGGATGCCAAGCAGTTGCCAAGAGCGTATGTGCAGACCGTTGTCTACCAGGTTGAGTTTGACGGGTTTTGTTCTTTTTCTCTCTCAGGTGGTTTCCTGGTCACCAAGAAGATGTTGGACATGTTCAAGCGTCCCACTGACCCTCCAGAATACAACTACCTCTACCTACTGCCCACCGGGGTGTTCGTTGGGGGCTATGGAGTCGCCTTGCAGGCTGGCTATAACATTGAACAGGTGAGCATCACCTAACCCTCAAACTGGCAGCGGGGTCAGTAGTTGTGTTCAGTAGGTTGTGTTAAAGCTGCAATATGTAACTTTTTGGGCGACCTGACCAAATACACATAGAAATGTGTGTCATAGATCTGTCATTCACATTGAAAGCAAGTCTAAGAAGCAGTATATCTGTTCTTTGTGCGCTATTTCTAATCTTCCGGTTCTTAAGTTTAGTTTTTGTCTTTTACTTTCGGTTTTGTACACCAGCTTCAAACAGCTGAAAATAAAAAATGTTGGGTTATGGAAAATATATTTCACAGCAGTTTAGATGGTACAATGATTCTCTACACTATACTTGCTTGTTTTGTCACATCAACTGAAATTAAGCGAACTATTAGAATTGTAGTGATTTCTGCATAGAACACCTTTAAGTAGGCAGGAAACTTGAGTGAAACATGCATGTATTACCTAAACTTGTCCAATTAGAACAGCAAAACGTGTTGCTATAGTGTGCCTTCCGGAACATGGCACAGGTCTAAGTCACAGCTGTGCGTCTATCCCTCTCTCTGTAGATGATGTACCTGGGCTCCGGTATGTGCTGTGTGGGAGCCCTGGCTGGTCTGTCTAACCAGTCCACTGCCCGTCTGGGTAATGCCCTGGGTATGATGGGGGTGGCAGGGGGCATCGCTGCCACCCTGGGCTTCCTGAAGCCCACCCCTGAACTCCTGGCACAGATGAGTGCCGCCATGGCTGTGGGTGGCACTGCTGGTAAGTGTGTATGTCTGTGTGTGGCAGTAAATGAAATGTGTCTGCCATTTGTATGTTTGAGTGTTCTGTCTGAACATATTGTCTAAACATAGTGAACAGCAGGTGGCGGTCTGTAGTCCTCATGTGGGGGTCTGCTTCAAACTGCTGTACTACGGTGGTGCCGAGGTAATGGTCACCATTATGTCTGAATCACCAGTATTACCCAGCAGACCTCTGGAGCTCTGCATCCTTCTTGATGGTAATTTTTTCCTGGAATCAAGCTGGAACCTAGACTAGACCATTGATTCAGACCCTAGCCCTGTTCCAGATGCTCCTGTTAACCCCGTCCATGTCTGCAGGACATGTACACACACAAGGAGGTGCACTCACAAACAAGGAATTTCCCCCAAACAACCCTCATCAGCAACACCCGTGCCTCAGGATGGCCCATTTCCCAGCAATCCTTTAGTGTGTGTCCGCACGTGTGTGTGTGTGTCTGCATGTGTCCAGGATTTCCGTTAGCCGGTAAATGCCGGCTTTTGCCCACAAACTGTTAGGGCCTACATAAAGCTGTCCCAACAGCAGAGCTTTCTTTTCAGCACCATGGAGTGAATCCTTACCACCGCTATACCTGGCTATCAGCAGAGCCTTGTCTGGTAGCGAAACAGTTAATTCAGCCTCATTTACTGCCTGATATGGCTGACTTGCCTAAACAAATGTGGTTTCTACTGACAATTGAGATGTACAAACTTTGGCATAAAGGAACAATGAGCGCATAAGAGGCAATCCGTAATTTCGATTAAGACATTAATGAGCGAGTTAAGACGGACATAGTCAATATAACTATTTGTTTAGCACTTTTGAAATGTACAGTGACAGAATTCAGAACATGGGCCGTTCTTATAGTGTTCTCCCTGTACACCAAGTCAGAACCGTAGGATAAATAAAGGGGTATATAAACAGACCATGAAAGCTCTTACAATATTTGATGATTACATTTCTTTATAACAGGCGAGAGGCTACATGTGTATCACCAAGTCAGACCATTAGGCTAAGTTATGAGGGGGAAAGGGACCAAATTATTAGGGTGAGGCACATGGGCTACTAACAGCTTACTACACATTTTACATTTTAGTCATTTAGCAGACGCTCTTATCCATAGCGACTTACAGTTAGTGAGTGCATAAAAACATTTCATACTGGTCCTCCATGGGAATCGAACCCACAACCCTGGCGTTGCAAGCGCCATGCTCTACCAACTGAGCTACACGGGACTACACAACATACACTTAGTATTACTTTCTTAGCTACAGTATACATATCTCCCTGGCATATTACATCATTTACGCAGCAGCATACAATACATTTTTGGACTCACCTTGTTGTGCTCTGCTCACTTGAACAGGAAGGTGACGCGACGGTCCTTCTTATGGGAAAATTTTGTCACCAAACTTTGTCATCAAAGTCTGGCTTTCTCTGGATTTATGGTGCTTTCAAGACAACTGGGTAATCTGGAAAAAAAACAAGTTCGAATCATGACGTCAGTGATCTTCAGGTCGGAGCTCTAGAAAGAGGCCAGAGTTCCCGACTTGGAATTCCAAGTTGGATGACCGTTGAAAATATATTTTCTCAGTTGGAGCTAGTTTTTTTCAGAGTTCCCAGTTGTCTTGAACTCACTGAAGTCATGCTGGATTGACAGCATGGCCAATGTATTCAACCTTTTCTGGCCCATGGTGTTGCATGTGAATGTTTATGCTTTTAAGCTTGGAAAAGAGAGCCATAAACCCAGACTTGGAACACACACCCTCTCCAATGAATAGCAGGCTAGTGATTGCTTTGCAACGCTTGCAGTTAGCCACTTATTCATTCCAAACCACTCATTGTTGAATTTGCGATTTCCAACTTGTGTAATGTTTATGTCCAATGGCCGATGAGCACCAATACGTTTTATCTGTAATTTCTCTTTATATGACAAGGATTGAAAAGGATTTGCCAGTAGATTGTCGACTTGATTCATGATTGCTAGCTAAGATTTTGAAAGTATGATGTTGGCATGCTCAGTCCAATCAGAGCTACGGTAGATATAACGTGATTTGACGTCATTTTATCGGTGGTCAATGACCTTGAGCCTTCTTGGATGGGCACTTCTAATGTAAATCTATGGCAGCACCCAAGGGGCTTGAATTTTCGAGCTCTCCCTGTAGATTTTGCAGCGACGTAGTGTCCCCATGAGTGACAGAACACTGCGCCAATCACGGCGCAACTTGAGAACGTTACCAACCTCTACGCTCTGTATTTTCCACTGGCTGCCCCACCTCCACAGAAAGCACTGAGCTAGGCTGAAACACCTGCATTTTGGAGCTGCCTTACTCAAGGAAGCAAAGAGTTTGTATGCGGCTTTATTAACCCAACACTTTTTTTTTAACATTGTTTGCAAACTGATATGTGACACGTATTAATGTCAAAATAACATGCAAAACATATATATTTTTTGTGTTTATTTATTTTAGCTAAACAAGTGGGGCTCAAAACTGAATGACGGGTCGCCACTGGTATCATGCGCAATTGGTTCATTTCAGTTGTGCTTGGAAACGAAACATTGTTGCCAACTATTCAAATCGGAGAGTTGCAATCACTAGGCAGCCAACTGCCTATTAGTATGAAACATAGTTGTTATCAATAAGCCATGTATATCAGACATGACACGAGCCACGACCCCACTATAGTTAGAATTACAATAAAAATAAACATAACATTTATTAATATCATCCAGTAGAACTGTAAAAAGAGTGAGATAAACTTTGAGCTTTGGAAACGTGCTTTCATAAATGCATGGTGCGGGCTTCGTTTCACAGGAGCATTGTAAAATAAGCTTTCGCTCAATGAACCAGCCTTAACTCATTTTGTTTATTTACAAATCGAATTTGATTGTCCAACATCAGTTTTTTAATTTCTTCATTTTGTGGTCGCCTAGTGTCCTGTTTCCACTACTGTGCTTTTGAATCGCAACGGGAATGGACAGTGGAGCGGGCCGGCCCGGTCATGGCTAGAAGGGATCTAGTTTTTGTCAAATTAATGTCAAAAGTAAAAACATTTTGCGTTTTAGCTAACCCTAACCCTTTTTCTAACCTTAACCTAATTATCTTAACCTGCTACGTTAATTATCCTAACCTACTGCGTAAGTTCTCCTAACCTGACAACAAAAAGTCAAATCTGACAAAATCTGGATCCCTTCTAGTCATGACCGGCCAGCCCTGGTGCTTGTAGACAGCCATGTTTTGTTATTTATTAGGCCTAATTAAAATGTTAATGTCTAGGCTAAATTAAATTGGAGAGGCCTAGATTGTATTTGAAAACAGCTGTGTTTTGTTATTTATTAATACAAAAATTAATACAAATAGCCTATAGGACAGGTCGTTTGCAAATTATATTATACAAATATGATATTTTGAAGTTGTTTTATTACTGTGGAGACGACTTGTTCTTCTAGGCTAAATGTTTTTTTATATATTTTTTTATTATATTCATTAATGATTTATAGCAGGGATGAAGACGCAACGGGAAATGTTTTGCTTTTCAGTAAAACCTGTCATGTTGGTATAAGAACATCTCTACTTTATTTTATTACAACTTTACAGGCTAATTTCTATTCTGTTAAAATGAATTACAATAATCTAAATGTGATTTTGAGCACCGTGGGTGGACGCCCTAATGTGTTACGCACCCAATGATTATGGATGTCCGGTAAATTTCTCCCCCCTCGGTCACATTGTCCGCTGCCAAATGTTCCTAGTGGAAACCCTGCTGTGTGTGTATCTTTGTGTGTGTGTGTGTTGATTGGTTCTCATCCTCTCTGCCCCCCAGGGTTGGGTATTGCTAGGAAGATCCAGATCACCGACCTCCCCCAGCTGGTAGCTGCCTTCCACAGCCTGGTGGGTCTGGCTGCAGTGCTCACCTGTGTGGCAGAGTACATGATCGAGTACCCTCACTTTGCTACCGACCCGTCTGCCAACCTCACCAAGATCATCGCCTACCTGGGCACCTTCATCGGAGGGGTCACCTTTAGTGGATCACTGGTGGCTTATGGGAAACTGCAAGGTGAGGAAGGGCGATTGGGCAGATACATTACATTTAAATTCTATGCTATTGGAGAGGTTGAAGCGGGATGGTGTTTTGTTGGGAGCTGCTAGTGAAGATTTAGGCAGGCCTAAGCCAAGCACGCGATGAGTTAAGGTTCCAATTTGACCTAAGTTTCCTGTCAGCAAATGAGGCAGTTAAATTATACTTATATTTCTCATACATATTCAACATCATGGTTCATTGATTTGATTCATTTGTCTATAGATGTTATTATTCATATATATTACACACAGACATTTTACTGAGTTTTTAGGAATTTGCTGCTCTTGGGCACCACATCTTATCCCAGGCAGCTGGGGTTTGATCCAGTACTACTAGTAATAGACCAATAACGGTCTGGGTCCTTCTGGTTGATACCTGAGGGTCTGTAACCCACTCTGCATCCCCCCCCCCCCCCCCCCCCTCAGTCCCCTGGCCCGGCTGTGCCACCCAGGCCCCCTTGCTCAAAGCTAGGCCAGGCGGAACCTCTCTGTTTGGCACTAATTAGCCCCTCCGCCCCCAGTCATTTTCCACTTGTTCCCGAAAGCTGGAACGCATTATCCCAGGGAGCATTCCCACTCCACAGTCCCACTGGAACCTGGAAAACCTGCTCTGATAAAATATTAAAAGTGCCCATTTCATGCTATACTTTTGGAAGGCATTCAAAACAAGAAGTGTGCAAGCTTTGTTAATTTGATTGTCAACATGCATTTAGTTTCAAATCAGCGTGAAACAGCCTCAGCTGCACACACATTTTAGTCTCTGAAATCAAAATCTATTTCAAAACGCTAACTTTGTTTCTCTGCTATATTTGTACCTGCCTGCCCAGGGTTGAATCAGTTCTAGGATAAAAAGGCAACTCCCTTTTTAGTCCATACAGTATGTGTCTGAATACTCGTAAACGAAGTCCATAATAAATGAGATGGACAGCACATAGTGAAATCCTGACATGCATTTAGCTCTATATGTCCATGCCTACAGTGTTTTTCCTCCTCCTCTCTCCAGGTGTGCTGAGCTCTGCCCCCCTCCATCTTCCCGGGCGCCATGCTATGAATGCTGGGCTAATGGCCTCCAGTGTGGGCCTGATGATCCCCTACATGCTGGACCCCAGCTACACCACAGGCGTCACCTGCCTGGGCTCTGTGTCCGCACTCTCCGCCGTCATGGTACGACCTACACGCCGTCTCTGCCCTAAGTATAGAAATAGAATGACTGGAATGGACATCCCCCATTCAAATGAATGTTTAAAATCGAGTGTGCAGTGAAATGATTGTGGTCTGAGGGCATTTCCTGTTCTATTAATTCTATATCTATGGCCCGGCTAATATCCACCAACCTGGATTGACCAGTGCTAAAGAAAGGCCTTTGAACTGAACCTTAGAAATGGGATGGAAGTCTTACCTATTTGTGCCATTGGGATCCTGTGCTTTAGCCCATTTAAGGTAGGCTTAGGTTCATTCAGCAATCCTTCAATAAAACATGCTCTCCTCACGAGCCTGCTCAACTGTTGGCCCTGAAGGAGAGTTTTCATTGGAAGCATTACACACAGGATCAATCCATAATATGATGATAGATGGAAGGTTAACTAAGATGATCAGGTTTTGAAGCAGCGCTGAGAGAAGGTGGTTCTGGTTAAAACTGTTGTGAATGTTGGCTGCTCAGGCCTCTGTGTGGTTTGTCAGTAACAAGGACATTTTGATGTTGGATAAATCAGTGGATATTCATTTTTACGTATACAATATCGCATCGCTCTGACTGATATTAAGGTGTAGCTAAACAATCACCTGTGCCTGAGCTCGAAGGTCTTTGAAAGGAAATCTGATACTGTTCAAGTCTTGCCCTCAGTTTGTTTGATGGAGTGGATCATTACATAATGTGAGGTAGCTGGCTCTGGTTAGAGCCGTTCCCTGAGGTAGGTATCTTGGAGAGTAACACTAGGATGATATCATAGAGAGCCCTTGAAATGAAAACTCCTTGTTTCGACAAACGCCTTATGAGTGGACTGAGGCCCACTGCAATCTGATAGGGGTTAAATACACAACATTTCAACTACACAATCAGATTTCTCTATTTGCCATTCAATAGTACAGGGTGTCTGTTTATGCCAAAGTGCTTCAGGAAATTGCTTACATTTATATAGGCCAGGCCTACTACTCACATGTGAAACATGATCTTTGCATACCTTCTTTTGAATGGGCAATATATTGAATTTAGCAACACATTAATGAAATGACGAGTTGATGTCTTGCTTTATTAACCCCACTGCCATAGGGCTTGACTCTGACAGCAGCCATCGGTGGTGCAGACATGCCGGTAGTCATCACGGTGCTCAACAGCTACTCCGGCTGGGCCCTGTGTGCCGAGGGCTTCCTGCTCAACAACAACCTGCTCACCATCGTAGGGGCCCTCATCGGCTCCTCAGGGGCCATTCTCTCCTACATAATGTGTGTGGTAAGTAAGCATCCTCTGTCCGTTAGTCTGTATTTTAGAAGTGTCACACATCCTATAGAATGATTCAAGTATAGAGGCTATCATCCTTCCTTCTGTCTGTATGTAGGAAGTGTCACACATCAGACAGTGAGGTAAATAGGCAGCATCAGGCCATGACTGTACAGGTAAACCTTGAAGATGCTGAAATATGCAAGAGGCATTTTCTGTGCTTCCACTGTTTTCCACTAGGAGGAACTCTAAGTGTACTTAAATGCCTTCCTGGCTGCATCGACTGCCTGAAGGAAACTGGGTTCATTGAAACTGCAGTTGACTCAAAAGAAATGAGCAGATTTTTATCCTTTCCACCCCCCTTCCCCTCTCCTCTCTCCCACTGGCTAGGCCATGAACCGTTCCCTGGCCAATGTGATCCTGGGTGGGTATGGTACATCATCCACTGGATCAGGCAAGCCCATGGAGATCGTAGGAACACACACGGAGGTCAACGTGGACCAAACTGTCGAAATGATCAAAGACGCTCAAAACATCATCATCACTCCAGGTAGTCAAAACCCAACCCCCCACCCCACACCCCCCCACACACACACAGCATGAACACGGTGATACACAAAAGTATGTGGACACCCCTTTAAATGAGTGGATTCGGCTATTTCAGCCACACCTGTTGCTGACAGGTGTATAAAATCGAGCACACAGCCATGCAATCTCCAAAGACAAACATTGGCAGTAGAATGGCCCATACTGAAGAGCTCCGTGACTTTCAACGTGGCACGGTCATAGGATGCCACCTTTCCAACTAGTCAATTCGTCAAACTTCTGCCCTGCTAGAGCTGCCCCGGTCAACTGTAAGTGCTGTTGTTTTGAAGTGGAAACGTCTAGGGGCAACAACGGCTCAGTCGCGAAGTGGTAGGCCACACAAGCTCACAGAACGGGACCGGCGAGTGCTGAAGCACGTAGCATGTAAAAATTGTCTGTCCTCGGTTGCAACACTCACTACCGAGTTCCAAACTGCCTCTGGAAGCAACGCCAGCACAATAACTGTTCGTCGGGAGCTTTATGAAATGGAAGCAAGTCCCCGCAGCAATTTTCCAACATCTAGTGGAAATCCTTCCCAGAATAGTGGAGGCTGTTATAGCAGCAAAGGGGGGACCAACTTTAATGTCCATGATTTTGGAATGAGATATTTTGACGATGTAGTGTACTTGCACACACCAGGACACTGACAGGGTAGGTTAATGTAAACTAAACCACGTACACAGGGTTCAACTTGCAAACGTTTTTAAGACCTAGAGAGTAAGTGGGTTGTGGCCAAAGGTCTTGTGCAGAAAGTAGAAAACATGTCCTTTGCCATCCACATTTTCAGAAATTACAGAACTTTTTTCTTTGTTTAGCTAACCTCTGTTGACCTTGTTACATCACCAGCTAATTGTCTTATTCCTTGAGCTGGCTACTTGACATCTAGCCCATGGTGTACTAGCTAACTCTATTTGCATTGTTTCCCCTAGTTTTTTTGTTTTGTTGGGTGCAGTGGTGGACAACCTCCCCAAACCCTAATAACAGTGTTTAAAGATGCATAACTCCGCAACGCTTTAGGCTAGAAACAAGCCGTAAAAGTCTGAAATTCAGTCTGAGCTAACACCTTCAAAAGTCAATCAGTTATAAAACAGTTTTGCTTTGAGGTAAAACTTTGATTTGAATGGGAAGTCATATTTTACAATGTAAGACTGTTGCAATCTAGTTATTTCAAAACTGATTTTAGAGGCAAGCAGACCAGGGTTTAAACCAGCAACCCTTGCAGTTATGCAAGCACACCACCTGTGACATTAAGGTCCAGACCTTTTGTCAGAGGCTGCATTGCAGGTTACAATAGCACTGCCAATGACAGTCATTTGGTTGGTCCAAAAAATCTGGCTTTGCATGTGGAAATGTTGTATAATGCACCTTTAACAAAAAATCACCTTCCGGTGTAAACATTTTAAAACACTATGTTTTTAAGTGAGAAAGAGGCATTGCACTGAAGCTGAAAAAGAAAGGAAATTCACATGAGCACCAAAATGCCTACTTCACCCATGCTCTACCAAGGTTTTCCAACACACCGCTTTTGACCTACTACAGTAGCTATGTTGGTCTATTGTACTTCAAACAATGTGTAGGCAGGTTGCTTAGGATTCAAATATATATATAAAAAGTATTTGATCCCCTGCTGATTTTGTACGTTTAAAAGGAGTGCTCCTAATCTCAGTTTGTTACCTGTATAAAAGACACTTGTCCACTGAAGCAATCAATCAATCAGATTCCAAACTCTCCACCATGGCCAAGACCAAAGAGCTCTCCAAGGATGTCAGGGACACAATTGTAGACCTACACAAGGCTGGAATGGGCTACAAGACCATCGCCAAGCAGCTTGGTGAGAAGGTGACAACAGTTGGTGCGATTATTCGCAATTGGAAGAAACACAAAATAACTGTCAATCTCCCTCGGCCTGGGGCTCCATGCAAGATTTCACCTCGTGGAGTTGCAATGATCATGAGAACGGTGAGGAATCAGCCCAGAACTACACGGGAGGATCTTGTCAATGATCTCAAGGCAGCTGGGACCATAGTCACCAAGAAAACAATTGGTAACACACTACGCCGTGAAGGACTGAAATCCTGCAGCGCCCGCAAGGTCCCCCTGCTCAAGAAAGCACATACAGTGGGGAAAAAAAGTATTTAGTCAGCCACCAATTGTGCAAGTTCTCCCACTTAAAAAGATGAGAGAGGCCTGTAATTTTCATCATAGGTACACGTCAACTATGACAGACAAAATGAGATTTTTTTTCTCCAGAAAATCACATTGTAGGATTTTGAATGAATTTATTTGCAAATTATGGTGGAAAATAAGTATTTGGTTAAGCAAGATTTCTGGCTCTCACAGACCTGTAACTTCTTCATTAAGAGGCTCCTCTGTCCTCCACTCGTTACCTGTATTAATGGCACCTGTTTGAACTTGTTATCAGTATAAAAGACACCTGTCCACAACCTCAAACAGTCACACTCCAAACTCCACTATGGCCAAGACCAAAGAGCTGTCAAAGGACACCAGAAACAAAATTGTAGACATGCACCAGGCTGGGAAGACTGAATCTGCAATAGGTAAGCAGCTTGGTTTGAAGAAATCAACTGTGGGAGCAATTATGAGGAAATGGAAGACATACAAGACCACTGATAATCTCCCTCGATCTGGGGCTCCACGCAAGATCTCACCCCGTGGGGTCAAAATGATCACAAGAACGGTGAGCAAAAATCCCAGAACCACACGGGGGGACCTAGTGAATGACTTGCAGAGAGCTGGGACCAAAGTAACAAAGCCTACCATCAGTAACACACTACGCCGCCAGGGACTCAAATCCTGCATTGCCAGACGTGTCCCCCTGCTTAAGCCAGTACATGTCCAGGCCCGTCTGAAGTTTGCTAGAGTGCATTTGGATGATCCAGAAGAGGATTGGGAGAATGTTATATGGTCAGATGAAACCAAAATATAACTTTTTGGTAAAAACTCAACTCGTCGTGTTTGGAGGACAAAGAATGCTGAGTTGCATCCAAAGAACACCATACCTACTGTGAAGCATGGGGGTGGAAACATCATGCTTTGGGGCTGTTTTTCTGCAAAGGGACCAGGACGACTGATCCGTGTAAAGGAAATAATGAATGGGGTCATGTATCATGAGATTTTGAGTGAAAACCTCCTTCCATCAGCAAGAGCATTGAAGATGAAACGTGGCTGGGTCTTTCAGCATGACAATGATCCCAAATACACCGCCCGGGCAACGAAGGAGTGGCTTCGTAAGAAGCATTTCAAGGTCCTGGAGTGGCCTAGCCAGTCTCCAGATCTCAACCCCATAAAAAATCTTTGGAGGGAGTTGAAAGTCTGTGTTGCCCAGCAACAGCCCCAAAACATCACTGCTCTAGAGGAGATCTGCATGGAGGAATGGGCCAAAATACCAGCAACAGTGTGTGAAAACCTTGTGAAGACTTACAGAAAACGTTTGACCTGTGTCATTGCCAACAAAGGGTATATAACAAAGTATTGAGAAACTTTTGTTATTGACCAAATACTTATTTTCCACCATAATTTGATTTTCTGGATTTTTTTCCCTCATTTTATCTGTCATAGTTGACGTGTACCTATGATGAAAATTACAGGCCTCTCTCATCTTTTTAAGTGGGAGAACTTGCACAATTGGTGGCTGACTAAATACTTTTTTCCCACACTGTATACAGGCCCGTCTGAAGTTTGCCAATGAACATCTGAATGATTCAGAGGAGAACTGGGTGAAAGTGTTGTGGTCAGATGAGACCAAAATCGAGCTCTTTGGCATTAACTCAACTCGCCAAGTTTGGAGGAGGAGGAATGCTGCCTATGACCCCAAGAACACCATCCCCACCGTCAAACATGGAGGTGGAAACATTATGCTTTGGGGGGGGGGGGGTTCTGCTAAGGGGACAGGACAACTTCACCGCATCAAAGGGACGATGGATGGGGCCATGTACCGTCAAATCTTGGGTGAGAACCTCCTTCCCTCATCCAGGGCATTGAAAATGGGTCGTGAATGGGTTTTCCAGCATGACAATGACCCAAAACACACGGCCAAGGCAACAAAGGAGTGGCTCAAGAAGAAGCACATTAAGGTCCTGGAGTGGCCTAGCCAGTCTCCAGACGTTAATCCCATAGAAAATCTGTGGAGGGAGCTGAAGGTTCGAGTTGCCAAATGTCAGCCTCAAAACCTTAATGACTTGGAGAAGATCTGCAAAGAGGAGTGGGACAAAATCCCTCCTGAGATGTGTGCAAACCTGGTGGCCAACTACAAGAAACGTCTGACCTCTGTGATTGCCAACAAGGGTTTTGCCACCAAGTACTAAGTCATGTTTTGCAGAGGTGTCAAATACTTCTTTCCCTCATTAAAATGCAAATCAATTTTTAACATTTTTGACATGCGTTTTTCTGGATTTTTTTGTTGTTATTCTGTCTCTCACTGTTCAAATAAACCTACCATTAAAATTATAGACTGATCATGTCTTTGTCAGTGGGCAAACGTACAAAATCAGCAGGGGATCAAATACTTTTCCCCTTCACTGTGTGTGTGTGTATATATATATATATATATATATATATATATATATATATATATATATATACACTACCGTTCAAAAGTTTGGGGTCACTTAGAATTTCCTTGTTTTCGAAAGAAAATACATTATTTTGTCCATTAAAATAACATCAAATTTATCAGAAATACAGTGTAGACATTGTTAATGTTGTAAATGGCTATTGTAGCTGGAAATGGCTGATTGTTATTAAAAATGGAATATCTACATAGGCGTACAGAGGCCTATTATCAGCAACCATCAGTCCTGTGTTTCAATGGCACGTTGTGTTTGCTAATCCAAGTTGATCATTTTAAAAGGCTAATTGATCATTAGAAAACCCTTTTGCAATTATGTTAGCACAGCTGAAAACTGTTGTGCTGATTTAAAGAATCAATAAAACTGGCCTTCTTG